TGGAGTTGGGGTGGTTAGATGAACCTGGGGTGAAAAATATGATTAGGGATTCTTGGCCGAATACATCTAATAGTAGATCTATGGATTTCCATATTCATAGGAAAATTTTTAATTTTAAGCATAATTGCTTACATGGAGATTAGAGAATTGCATCTCTGAAAAACAAAATTGATCAGACTGTCCTTGATTAAATTAACCACATCCCCAACCATCCCGGCAATAACATCATCACACACCATTCCATCAGCAGCTTCAAAAGCATCAGATTTATTCATTTCATCATTCAATTCACCCATCGCACCATCCAAGATAACACCATTCACAAGGGCACTCTTACCATTAGCATCTTCACCAGAAATACCGTCACCAAGTACCCCATCAGCATTAGCATTAGCGTCACCAGGAACTTCTTGGTCCAGCCCTTCTAAAGGCCCCACAATTGCATCCCCACCCATCATCTCTTTGTCGCCAATCGCTACAATCTCTTCTTCTGACCCTATAAACAACAAGCCTTCTTCGAGGATCATATACAAAGGCTGATCCCCTTCTGCTATCACCATTGCCTTAGAGTTGGCCTCATCTAAAACTGGGTTAATCTGCTTCTCTCTATGCACCACCTCATATGTCAGAAACATCTCCGCCATTAAACCATCATCCCCCATGGGCGCATCTTCTTGAGGGTCCTCCAGAGAATTATCGAGCATAATCACCGCCAATGGATTGAAAGGTTCTTGAGGAAACGTTCGCGAAATCTTGTTCTTCCTCACAGCGCTTCGAGACAGGAGAAACATCATCTTAAATACCACTGCCCACCAGAGCAGCACCACCACAGGGAAACTCTTACTTGAGATCGGCAGATAACTCCGGTGGTTTTCTATCTCAGGTGGTAGAGAGGAACACAGGAGTGTAAAAGACGCCTTCCCAGAGGGAATATCGAAAGGATACCCTTGATCATTGACTTTCGAGTAATCACTCCTTGGAGACAGGCACGTTTCCTTTCCTAAGTCCATCCTTCCAACACATGTTGCATGGCAGTCCGTATTCAAATGAAAGATCTGCTCCGCCGCCTTAAAACAAGATTGTTAGAGGGCCAGATTTGGTGGACCCGAAGGACTACCCACAACACTTGCAAGACGCATGGCACAACTATTAAGAGGCTTGGGCAGTAGTAAATAGTCAAAGGTATTCCCAGGAAAACGGCCCACCTGTATCCATTTAGATTTGTGCCACGTGTTTTCTTTCACACTGAATTATGGTGATTAGCAACCCCCCTGAGACTTTGATTCTACAACCCCACGCCATGAGAAAACTTATGAGTCTTGTCATGACTTGCAAGCATCCACCCCTCATCCTTGCCAATCATTTTTTCATTCAAAGAAACTGATACCTTGGCAGTACTAGGACCAGTCTTCTCAATAGCTACGTCTATTATAAACTATTTGGCCCTACTTGTAAATGAATCTTGGATGGAAAAGAGTCCCTCACCGAACGCTACAGCTTAACATGCACTAGATCAATTGGGCCCTCCTTCAAGAGAATCTAGTCAATATTGCAGTAAGAGCCACACATATTTGTTAATTTTTGAAAAATTGCCAATTTTTGGGCAAGTTAAGGTATACCTCGAAAAGTAACCCAAACCTGTTCTTTCTCCGCCAATGATCCATGAGCAGAAAGACTCCAAGGTGTCAAAGACAACAATTTTTCACGAACTCTCGCAAAACGGGATAGGGAAAGCACAAAATTAACCTCCTCCGTGGTTTTAAAAAAGAAAACCACCTTATTAAAACCAAAAAAACGTACATCTGGCAGATACGACAAACCTCACCCCCTTCTGACCCAATCTCCCAAGCTGAAGACCTCATTAGACGGGAGGGAGAAGGAACCCACAATTACCGTACTTGTACTAGAGCTAATATCCTCTACGAAAGAACAATCTATGAACACCTTAGGCAAAAACTCCATCTTCAGGGCATCATCTCTCTCTCTATCTCTATTGCATTAAGCCATTTTTTGAGAGAGCGGGTTGGGGCACGAGTATGAAAGGAGCTAATGTATCAATTGGGCCCAATTGTTGCATCAATTGGGCCCTCCCTCTCCCTCAAATGCAGCATCTCTTGTTCCTCTTCCTCTCACTCCAAAGTCTAAACTAGTGCCTTTTTTTTTTTTTGCTATAGTTCCAAAGTCTAAACTAGTGCCTTTTTTTTTTTTTTTTGCTATAGTTAGCTTACCACATTTAATGAGAAATTTATGGTGGATTTTTTGAAGCATTCCTTATCTTTGATTTTGAATTTTCGAATCTTTCTAGTAAATTTTATTTTTAATTTTGGATGATGGGATGAGAGTCAAAACTCATGAGACATTTAAATGGATTAGTTTAATTATATTAATTTAGTAAAATTTTTATGGATGAATTAGTTATTGATGGCTGTGGTATATTTTTATTTTTAAAATTTCAAACTTATCTTTTTTTTTCACTCCGATTTTTAGAGCCTAACCTGATATATGAACGATATCTTTATAGAGAGTATTTTTGCCGATTCATATTTTTATCCAACTTTTTCATTTTACTTTTTGAAGTAAAACCGATTTATTTTCAATTTTATGGTGAGCCTATATTGATACTCGCCAACGTGCTAACTTCTTATTATGTGAAGTTGTAGATGATGGAGGAGTGAGCTATAAGACATTTTACTCCAAGACAAAGTGTTCATATTTGAATTGCGGTTGTTGGACTCAAAATCCAAAATAAACATTTTCGGATTTTGGGACACCCCAAAACTAGGGGTGAATGTTACTTCCTCAAACAAAAAATAATGGCTTTATGAAAACAAAGTAAAGCCTCATCTCGAATCTTTATCCAGAAAGCACTTTCAGCAACAAAAATCTTCATGACGGCTCTAACATCAATTTCCAACACTGACAATATAATTTGAAACTCATAAAATATATAAATCTTGCGGATCTATGAACACTTATTTTTAAGGAAAAATGAACAGTCTAGATTATTTGTTACAATCTACGCTATTCTTAGAGCTTGAAATCCTAATTTTTCTTTACAACCATAATATTCAATCCGAGATTATTGATGTAAAGGTTTTCCGATGCTTGAGTTACAATTTTCGATGAGTTGTGGGGTGAGGCTTTACTCAGTGCTGCAGCCCTATCAAACCATTTTCCAAAAATAAATAGTTTTATAGATTTAAAATTTAAAAAGGTTGAATAAGGTATTAATTTTATTTGTAGAAGCAAGGTGCACATCAAAAAATCTTACGAAATGGTTGTTTCGACATCAAAAAACCCTTGAGTTAATTGTCTTGACCCTAAGATATAAGGATAGAAAAGAACATATTTCAAGTCTAAAAAATAGTACATATTTTAAGGAAAAAAAAGTTCATATAAGGTTGAAACCGTAAATTGAAGAACTAAGAACACCTCAAAAACCTATCAGAAATACTATTTTGAAGTTGGACAACCATCGAATTGATCATTTCAACATCGAGATGTACGAATATGAGGAGAAACTAAGATTCAAATCTTGAAAATAGTACATATAAAAGGGCATTATCTGGACCGTCCATTATTTATGTGTATTTATAGATGTACATGATTTGAACCATTTTTTGGAGTTTAAATTTTTATAACAAGAGATAAAAATGGATTCTTGGGCCCTAGATTCTTGGGCTGTCTTCAAATTTTTCGACACCCAAATTGCATCTTATGACGAATTTTGAAATTGCACCTTGTTTTGATTGTTTAGGGTTGCAATCATATGCAAACCTCACCCTTTTAAGAATGGAAAAAGTTAATATAAAGGTTGCTACCTAATGCTATTAAGGTAAGGTGCACAGCAAAAAACCTAAAAAAAAAAAAGAGTGTTCCGGAATTGTAGAACCCTCTAATTGATCATTTCAACTTCAAGATATATGGACATGAAGAAAAAAAGAATTCCAAATCCAAAAAATAGTGCATATTGTAACAAGTTCTCTGGACCATTTATTTTGAAGATTTTCAGGTGTTTATTGATTTTTATCATTTTTGAAATTTTGAATTTTATAACTAGGTATGAAAGTAGATTTTTTAACCCTCATAAGATTTCTGACACTAGAAAGACATCTTAGAGCAAATGTAGACGGTGCCTTACTTCTACCGTACAAGGAGGCAATCTCACCCTTAATTATAACTTTAAATTTTAATTAGTAGTAAAAATATTTTTTTCGACCATGACGACTATTCTCGACACAAAATTTTTTTTTTTAACAATATTTAAAAATTCAACTTATTTGCATTCTATAAGGTTGACACTTGGTAAGGACCATGGGCCTAAAACATTTATTTAGGATGCATTTATTCCTTACCCTAAATTGCACCGTGAAACAAGTTTACATGTTAGCTGACAGTTGTGGAATTTAGGGGTGGGAATTGATCCAGTGGCCTGGCCCGGTCGGGCCCAATTAGTTTGACCCTATAAAACTTGAGCGTAGGCCATGATAAGTGGCTCGTGGCTCTAGGGCTGGCCCAAGGCCAGGCAACCACAGCTCGAGGGTAGGCTCGGGCCAAGGCTAGCATGTTTCAAATCGACCTGACATTCTTGTCTTATTTTGTTTATTTTTAGTTTTTTCAATTCTATTTGTTTTGGCCTGGCCTGGCCTGGCCCTAATAGAGCTAGGGACGGGATTGGGCCAAGGCCCTTTTGGCCCGGTTGGCCTGGTGTGTGGGGACTAGGGCCTGCCTTGGCCAAGCGCAAGCCGGACCAAGCCCGCCCGTTGTTTGTACTTGACTTGAACGATAAAGGCGTAAAGTGTGGGCAAGGACAAAGTCGCGTAATGTGGGCAAGTACAAAGTGGCGTAGACAGAGGCCTTAACATTGGACAAAAGTACAAACTGCGGAGAGTGATAGCGTTATTTCCTAGGAATGCGGAGGAAAGCATAAAGTAAATGGGAGAGCAGGTTGGTGGAGGAGAGCATGAAGTAAATGGGAGGGCAGGTAGGTGGAGGAAAGCATGAACAAAATGGGTGAGCAGGTAGAGGTGGAGGAGTGAGAAAGGGAACCATGACTGCTTCCAATACATACTGTGTAACTGGAGCAAACGGGTACATTGGTTCGTGCCTGGTCCAACTCCTCTTACGAAGAGGCTATTACGTTCATGCTACCCTCAGGGACCTTGGTGGGTCACCCCCATTTCTCTCTTTCTGCCTTCTTTTTCCACAGAGAGAGAGGGAGAGAGATATTGATTAGGTATGTGATGTGCAGGGAAGGGCCATGAGTTGTGGTGTTTTGACGCGAGTAGTGAGAGACTGAAGGTTTTCGAATCGAAATTAGAGGAAGAGGGGAGCTGACGAAGCAGTGAAGGGGTGTATTGGAGTCTATCATGTGGCCGCACCCATGCATTTCAATGCTACTGAATCGCTACAACCAGGTAAGCCACACGTTTATTTATGCATCCTCATTTCTTCTTCCTCTGCCATACCCATACCATTGTTTGATCACTGGTCCTGAAAGTCTCTCTCTGAATAAAATGGAGGCTGGTAATATTAGTCAACCTGGCCCTGAAGTTCTTGTTGAGTTGTTTTGGAAAGGTCAGAAGCTCAAGTTACAGAAAACCACAAGCCATTGGCAGTGGAACAAATGTGTTAAAGTATGGTATTCTCTCTCTCTGTCTCTACTGTGTTGTGCTCTTATATTCTAAATGAAATCATTAGCCTTTTAAAAGAAGTAAAAAATGGACAAGTATGGATTTCATGGAGTGGGTTACAGTGAGGATCTAATATCATAATATTTGCCAGCTTCAATGCTATGTTGGAGTCCCTAAATCTCATGAGTTGAGATAATAAGAAATTCATGGGCTGGCTAGAAAAGCAAAAGGCCACCTCTCACTGGTCTAATTACTCTCATCAGGACCACTTTAGCGAAACATTCCAATTTAGTTATATCAAAGTTACAAAGGGTCACCACTCGCAAACCAGAATGATCACATAAAAATATCTCCTTCTTCAGTGGAAAAATGTAAGCAAACCCAAAACGTGCAAAGATTTGCAAATTCAGAATTTTATCATCCAAATGGATATGGAAATAAGCTTCAAAAGAAGAGGCCCATAGTTGGATCTTTTGGATGGAAAATTCAGAGATAGCACAGAAGTATGGCAGTTAAGTGCGCAAGATCGGCGAATGAAGCATGCTAACAGGAAAAGAGAGAGAGAGAGAGAGAGAGAGAGAGAGAGAGAGAGAGAGAGAGAGAGAGAGAGAGAGAGAGAGAGAGAGAGAGAGAGAGAGAGAGAGAGAGAGAGAGAGAGAGAGTAGAGAGAGTAGTAGTAGTAGTAGTAGAGTAGTAGTAGTAGTAGTAGTAGTAGTAGTAGTAGTAGTAGTAGTAGTAGTAGTAGTAGTAGTA